CAGTGCCCCCTGCACCAGTGACAGTCCAGGGTCACTCATGCTGCTGCACGGTGCCCACAGTCCCTGGAGGGCCACCACAGACCCAGCGGTGATGGCAGCAGCACCACAGTCACAGGCTTCCCTGTCATACAGCGGCCACCCTGGCCAGCGCCTGCCACAGCACTGAGGCGGTGGCCACCAGCCTGACACACAGCAGCAGGCATGCTGACCTGGCCCAGACCATCCCGAGGACACTGCTGTTGTGAGGCGGGACAGACCCGACTGGCAGCCCCTCCCCTCCTCCCACCGCCAAGCAGAGCCGCAGCTGTTGGCAGAGGGTGCCAGCCCCTCATGAATATTCATTAGCCAGGGAGCTCCTGAACCTGTGGGGAGCCCGAGGTCCCCGGCAGCTGGGTGCCCCCTTCTGCGCCAGGAGGCCGGGGGGTGGCAGGCCTACTTCACACAGGCACATGTCTGTGAGCCCGGGCCTAGACCCAGCAGCCACATCCCCCAGATGCACACTCGGCCACGCAGCCACCCGGCACACACACACAGGCACGCATGAAGTGTGCCAACAACCACAGTCACATGAGCTCACAACCACACCCAAACCACAGACACTCGCCACACACACACTCGCCCCCACCAGACATGGAAACGTGGGCCAGCACAGGCACATGACTGCACCAGGATGCCCAGGACAAATGGGCACACTCATTCATGCTCACACATGCCAGTGCCTCCTGCCTGCTTTGTGGAATCAGAGACCTGGGGCCCCAACCCCTGCTGTGTGAGACAAGGACTTGCTAAGCCAGGCCAGGGCCTGGGCCAGGCTGGTACTCGAGATCCTCTTGGTTCAGCCTCCCAGTGCTAGGATGACAGGTGTGCTTCGCCATGCCTCTCTGAACCCACAAATTTGCCATACATGATGGTCCGCCAACTTTCAGATGCAAGCTCACACATCCATCCCCATTTACAAGAGCACCTCCTTAAGCCCCAGTGTGATGGCACGCACCTGCAATCCCAGCACTCGGGAGGCTGAGGCAGGAGGATCACTGAAAATTTAAGGCCAGCCTGGACTGCATAGCGCAACCCTATCTCAAAAAAACGCTCTCTCTCTCTCTCTCACAAACACACACACACACACACACACACACACACAGCACAAGGCTGTGCACTCTGGCACTTTACAGATGGGGAAACTGAGGCACTGTGTCCCTGAAGTCCCCAGGAAAGAGCCCAGGCCTTCCCACTGTGAGGCAGAGGCTGCGGCCAGCGCCCCCTGCTGGCTCGGCAAAAGGGCGCGCGGGACGGTGGCGCGCGAGGCGGGCACGCGCCTGACGTAACCATGGCATCTTCTTGGCACGCGCGCGGGGCGGGCGGGGCGGGCGCGTTGCCATGGCGCCAGCGGCCCAGTGAATGGGGCATTGTTCGCGCGCTGCCTGGGCTAGTAGACCTGGACCCACCCGAACCCACCCGGGCCGGCAGAGACGGATCAGGGAGAGACAGAGATAAAGGGAGAGACTGGGAGAGATGTAAACAAGGAGGGATGCAGGCTGGGAACCAGGAGGGCCAGAGAGGCCAAGCCGGAGAGGAAGCTGAAGGCGGAGAGACCAGGAAGGCGGGAAGAGAGCCGGGGCCAGTGGCCCAGCATCTCGCGTCCAGGTGGTCCAGGGCGAAATTAAGGGTCAGGTGGACCCCAACCCGGGAGCCTTGACCCCGCCCCCCGCCCCGGGTCCCCCCAGTTCCTTGTCCACGAGTGAAGTCACGCTCCTCCCTTAGCACTGGGGGAATGCTGCGCCACATTCCCAGCCATTCTCATTTTTTTATTTGAAAACAGGGTCTCCCAAGTTTCCAAGGCCGGGCTTGGCACTTGCCACCCTCCTGCCTCAGCCTCTCAGAGTGCTGGGATGAGAAGAGTGAGCCATTAGCACGTCCTGTCCCACTATGGAGGAGTCACCCTCGCGGGCACCCAGCCTCTGGGGACCCCTGGCGACACCCACCCTCCCAGAACACAGCGACAGCTTGGGTGTGAGGACAAAGTCCCACCAGGTGGCATTCACAGAGGTGGCCCTGTGGCTGGACCCACACACGCCAGTGTCTGCAGGCCGCCGTGGTCGTGCCGGGTCACCGCACTGGGACACTGTCACACAGGGTCACCCCCGACCCCCAAGGCGCCTTCCACCCTGTCTGTGTGGCGGCCTGAGTGGGATCCAGTCTCAGGGGTTCTTGGCGAAGTGTGTGTGAGCTGGGCTCATTTCTGTCCATTGGAGTCCGGGCTGGCAGGTCGGGAGGGAAGGAAAGGAGGGCGCTGTCGCCCTCACCACTGGGTCAGGCCAGGCCAGGCCAGGCCAGCGTGGCCCCGAACTGCTGCGGTGAGTCAGCCCAGCCCAAACTTGGACCAAGGGCGGCTCCTGGCGGCCACCTGCGGTTTCGCACGCGTCCTTGAGGGTTGGCGCGCGGCTGAGTTGTCGCGGCTCTGAGCACCGGAAGCCGCTCGGGCTGAGCAGCAAGAGCGGGAGGGCTGGCGTCCGAAAGAGAAGCCCGGACCTGGAATTGATTCGGTGGCTGCAAGTACCAGAGTACACAATCCGGATCCAGACGCAAAAACCTCGGGATATAGCTCAGAGCTACATTGCCTAGGGAGGGTTCGACCCTTGGCACCCAGAAGAAAGCGGGGGGGGGGGGGACCCGGGCGTGGTGATGCACACCTTCATCCCAGCACTCAGGAGGCTGAGGCAGGGAGATGGTTGCGAGTTCAAGACCACCCTGGGCTACAAAGTGAGCCCAAGGCCAGCTGCCTGCACTGCACTGCGAAACCCTATCTGGAAAGAAAGGACCAAAAAAAAAAAAAAAAAAAAATCTAGATGCAATAATACCAAAATCTAGAACTCGGATCCAAGAAGGCAGAACCCAGGCTCTAAAATCCAGCTCCCCACCCCACCCCCAAATAAAATTCAGACCCCGTCAGCACTTGGGAGTCTTAGGAGAATTGTCCTGAGTTCAAGTCCAGCCTAAACTACAGAAAAAGACCCTATGTCAAAGAAAAAAACGAATGAATAATGAATGAATGAATAAAATTAAGACCCTTTATCCAGAACCAAGAACCCATACTCTGAAAACCAGAATTCAGCAATCTGGGTTCCGTTACCCAGAAGTAGGAGGTGGGGTGCGGATGGCAGCGCCGGGCGCAGGCCGCGGACCCCGTGGGCCCCAGGCAGCGGGGCGGCGCGCTCAGGGGCGAGGCCGAGACAGGGAGCAGATTCGGCTGCCCCACGTGCCCGCGCACACGAGGCCACACGCCCGCGCCCAGGCGCTCGTGGGAACCGCGGCGGAGACGGGAGGAGGGTGCGCGCGCGCGCACGCGCGCGCCCCGCAGAGGCGCCCCAGCCTTGGCAGCCGCGCGGCCCCTGGGAACCGGACCCCGGGGACAACGGCGCGCTCGCCTCCCCGCCCCGCCCGGCCGGCTGGCGGGCTGGAATACAGATGCCAAACTCATAATTGTGACTGAGGGCGACAGGGTCACCTTGAGCCCAGATGCTCGCGTGGCGACAGATGGCGCTGGCAAACCTGATTAGCAGCCCCCGTGCCAGCGCCTGTGGCACCTGCCTCCCCGCCCCCCCCCATTCTCATTACCCACCCATTACAGCCTGGGGGTGCGGGCGGGGCGGCAGCCCCGGAGGCCTCCCTGACACCGAGGTTCCCAGCTGGCTCCCCGGCTGGCAGGAGGTGGGCGCAGCTGAGGGTGGGAGGGTCGGGAGGGGGCAGTGGGGCCGTGTTGCTCACTGGGCACTGCTGGGGTCGCCCCCGGGACCTGGCGACACCCCTCCTCCCCACCTCCTGAGCCCTGAGAGCTGTGGCCAGGTTGGTTCTAGCCTGTGGGGCCTGCAGGTCAAAGGTTGCAGGCTCCCACTCCCCCCATGTTTCTTCGGGGCCCCTGTGGACCCCACCTGGCGCTGCCTTCCTGCAGCGGGAAGGGCTCCCTCCCCCACCCCTCCCCGAGGTCCCCTCCCCACTCCAGGGGGCATCGGAGGCGCGTGATGGCACCACATGTCCCTGCACCAATGCCAGACGGGCCCATCTGCCAGGACCCGGGTTCCAGCCGTCGGAGAGCCAGGCTGCCCGTGCCCACGGTGGACCCCATGCCCCAGCTGGGGAGGGGGCACCCGATGTCCACGCCTGCCCTGGCTGCCACTCCAGGGAGCCCCGATCGGTCTCAGAAAGGAACACACGCAGCTGGGCCTGCGACCTTTATGGTTCCATGGAAGCCACACTGGACCAGGGGCTAGGGGACCTCGCAGCCTCGTGGGGAGGAGCCTGTGTCCCCTGCCTCTCCCAGTAACTGTGTCTGTTGAGAGCCCTGGTGTCCTGGCACCTCCAAGACAGGGTCGAGGGCGGTGTCTCTGAATGTGTCCTCCCTGCAGCCAGGAGCCATTGACTCATTGCGGGGATGTAGGATCCAGATCCTCACCAGGCCTGAGGTGCACACCTGACACCCCGGCACCCTGGAAGGCTGAGGCAGGAGGACTTCAAGTTCCATCCAACCTAGCGATTTAGCAAGTCTCTGCCTCAAAATTTAAAAACAATTTAGGAGGCCCTGGGCTCCACTCGCAACACTGAAAACATTTCAGACCTGAAAACCAGGGCAGGGGTACAGCCCAGTGGCTGAGTGCCTGCCTGGCATGGGGGGGGGTCCTGCTGCATGAGACTGGGAAGGGATTGCGCCCCATAATGCGCTGACCTCAGACGTAGCTCAAGCCACACCTTGAGGGCGCACCGTCTACCTGTGCCTGCACCCCACACCTGGGGCTGGGTCCGGCACCCCTGGGAAGGGTGCGGGTTCAGGACATGTTTGTCCTTGCGTCCCTGATCTCTGACCGGGCATGTAGCATCCAGGTCAGCGTCTCTCTCTCCCTATTTTTTTTTTTTTTTTTTTTTTTTGCGGTACCAGGGATTGAACTCACGACCACACGCTTGCCAGGCAGGCGCTTATGCCACTGAGCTAAATCCTCAGCCCCTCTTATTTTCTTGTTACAGTTTTTTAAGTTTTGTCTTTTGTTTGTTTTGAGATAGGGTCTTGCTATGTAGCTCAGGCTGACCTTGAGCTCACTGTGTAGGCGAGGCTGGCCTTGAATTCACAGCATCCTCCTGCCTCAGCCTCCGGGATGCTGGAATGAGCAGTGTGTCATCTCTCTGTCTCTTGTTTAACAATGCTAGAATTGGGACTCATGCCCTCTCACTGAGCTGCACCCCATCTCAACACCAGTCTTGCTCATGTCCCTTGTGTCCAAGGTCCAAGGTCTGTGTCGTCTGTCTGTCTGTCTGCAGGGTCATCACAGCTTTGGGCCACATCGACAGCCCTCTACCAGCTCGGCGGAAATCTTCACCCGCCGAGGGGTCCTGGGGCCACCCATGCCACACCATAGGGCAATGGGCATGCGGCGCGTGCGGGCGGGCACACAGCTGTTGCAGGAGCTCAAGATGGCTTCGGAGCCGGGCACGTAGAGGGAGGCGCAATGGCCGAAGCACAGGCGGTTGTGCACGCGGGTGGTCGTGCATCTGGGCCGGGTCAGCACCTGCGGCAGGGCACGAGGGATGCAGGGTCAGGGCGGGGGTGGACGGGGAGAGGACTGGCCACCTGCTCCGATGGCAAGGCCGGGATGCTGTAGGCCTGCCCCTACCACAGTGGGGCTGTGACCGTGGTGAGGCCAGGGCCTCCCTGGTCACCTTCCTCACCTTCAGACCCTGGCCGTTCACACAGGAGAGGAGAAGGTATCACCCACCTCCAAGGATTGCAGAGGGAGAGAGAGGGGGCGTGGACAGGCAGCCTGGGGCTCGGGCACGGCGTGGGGGCAGTGGGTCCAACTAGAAATGCAACACAGTGCCTGGGCTGCAGTGGGTGCTCCATATACTCTGGGTCCTCCCTCCCTAAGTGGATCTGTTATCTCAGCCCTAACCTGGGTCCTTCAGGGCTGAAATCCTGCCTCTAGGTGGGGCTGTGGCACATGCCCGAAACCTAGGAGGCTGAGGCAGGAGGGTCACAAGTTCCAGGGCAACTTAATGACTCAGAGAGAAATAAAAGGGTGGGTAGGGCTGGAACTGTTGATCAGGGTAAAGGATCTGGGTTCAATCCCCAGGGCTGGAAAAGGGAAAGAAACAGGCTGGCGGGGGGGGGGGGGAGCAACGGGGAGGGAAGAGCCTGCACCCTCCCCCAACCAGGCCCTCTTCCTTAGGATAAGACACACAGACTGGCCACCAGAGACCAGACGTCCACCTGGCATCTGTCCCCTCCCATGTGGCTCCAGCCCCCTGGAACCTAGACCACCTGAAGCCAGGGCCTCTGTCTTGATGATGGCTGTGGCCACCGACATAATTCATAATTCCAGCCCAGGCCAGCAGGAGAGATGGTGGGGCAAGCCCAGCTACTTGGGAGGCTGAGTCAGGACAATGTCGAGTTACAGCCCAGCTTGGACAACTGAATGACTTGGTGAGAGCTTGTCTCAGGAGTTAAAAAAAAAAAAAAACAGTAAAAGGGTTGGGTGTTTGGCCCAGGGTACAGGTTCCATCTCCAAAACCAGAAAACAAAACATGAAAGCATCCAAGGACCCTTGGGAGCCAACACCTGGGCTCAAGCCCTTCGGTCAGCCCTTTGCCGATCACCCCATTTTGCAGGGGGAAAACTGAGGTCAGAGGCGGGAAGCTACTTACCTGGTCCCACAAAAGTCACCACTAAGACCAGACCTGAAGCTGCACCCAGGGAGCCACCAAGGCCCTGTCAGCCCTGCCTGAGCGCAGCCGTACCCCATGCCCATGGGAGGCAGGTAGTACCACAAACCATCGTGAATTCATTCAACAAACACTGACTGAACCCATCTTGTACCTGGCCTTGCCCTAGGGCTGGAAACAGGGACCCTGCAGAGAACAAAGCCAGACAAGGTCCATTCTCTCCATGGGCAGGGACCGCAGTGACGGAGGTGGACAATCCAGCTCCTTACAAGCACTTCAGCCAGGCCTGGTGGTGCACACCTGTGAGCCCAGCACTTGAAGCTGAAGCAGAAAGATCACTGAGAGTTCAAGACCGGCCTGGGCTACACAGTGAACTCAAGGCCAGCCTGAACTGCATAGCGAGACCCTGTCTCAGAAAGACAAAAACTAAAAAACAAAAATAACAAGAATTTGCTGGGGATTTGGCTCAGTGACACAAGCACCTGCTTGGCAAGTGTGAGGTCGTGAGTTCAATCCCATTACCACTACCACCAAAAAAAAAAAATAAATAAAATAAAAATACTGTCAAAAAAAAAAAAAAAAAGAGAGAATCTGAGGCCACATGAGCTGATGGCACCTGTGCCAGAGCCTCCTGACTCAGCCTCCCAGGTGCTGGGATGACAGGTGTGCACCACCACGCCTGGCTGGCATTTTTAAATAAATGACATTTTAAACAGCTGAGAGAAAGGGCTGAAGCTTACTTGGGTGAGAGATGAACGCCAGGGAAAGGATACAGTGTGACATGCAAAGGCCCTGAGAAGGATGGAGCATTGGCACCCATGAAAAGTAGGAGTGAAGTGAGGAGGAGAACTGGAGATGAAGGCCTGAGGGAACAGCGTCAGCGGATGGGGCTGTGGGGGCACCAGGAAAAAGCACGGTTTTGTCCCAGTGAGGTGGGAGCCACAGAGCAAGGAGGGATGGGACCTGACTCAGGGTGCCCACACACACCCCCCCCAGACTGACGGGAAAGCAGCCAGGAGGCTGCGACCCGGATCCCCGGATCGAGGGTCTGCTTAGAGAGGGACACTGAGGCGCTCACTGTGGAGTGCAGGGCGCAGGACACAGGGCCTGAGTGCAGGTCTATCTGGGCTGGGGCCCGGCTGCTCCGAGGGTCCCAGGTTCATGGCCTGCTCCAGCCAGGGTACAGCTCTTGCTTAGCTCCCAGGACTCCATCTGTGGCCCATTCCGCCCTTGGCTTCTCACCTGCACGAAGGGCACCGCCCTGCACCGCTCCTGGGCCACCTCCTGTGGGTCCAGGGGCAGGGCCAGCGCCCGGCCTGTTGCTCCTGGGCCCCACCGCCCACCATCCTGCAGGCCCAGGAAGGCCTTCCAGCTGCCCCAGGCAGGGGGTGCAGGTGCCAGTGCCCCCCGCTGGTCAGAGGCGGCCCAGGGCTGCGTCGGGGGTGCCTGGGTCCTGGGCTGCACCGAAACTGCAGGCAGCCAGGCCCCGCTCAGCAGCCCCAGCACAGCAGCAAGCAGGCCCCGCTCCAGCTCCATTGTGCTCTGGCCTAGGTTGCGCTCAGGGTTGCCGGCAGTGCACAGGCTCCATGGGAGCTGCTTTTAACCCCAGCTCGCCCAGCCCCAGCCTGGGGGGCCGTGTAAACTCACACCTTGGGGAGAGTAAAGCAGGCCTGCTGGGTCGCAGCCCCTCCCACACTGAGCCCTGTGTCTCCCCAGCTTCTCAGGAGGCCAAGCAGGGAAGAGCTGGAATTGGAGGCCACCCCGGCTCAAGATAAAATAAAACGGGCTGGGCGCCGGCCTGGCGGTGCTTCTGGAGCCAACGTCTCCAAGGATCAGAAGCTGCTCAGTTCCACAGCTCAGGGTGGAGCACTGCCCTGCACCTTCCAGGCCCTGGCTTCGGGCCACTCCTGCATGGAAAGAAGAAAGAGCTGTTTCTAAAGCTGTGCGCACAGCTGTGCTCCCAGCCACTCAGGAGGCTGAGGCAGTAGGGTTTAAAGTTTGAGGTTGTCCTGGGTAACTTCCAAGTTCCTGTCTCCGAAGAAAAATCTTAAAAGTACTGGGACGGAGCTGAGCGTTCCCTGGGGTCCATCCCCTCTACTAGAGCACACCACAAACACTAGAAAACAAAGTATCAAAATGAAAGAGCCGGCTGGGGGCTGGGGATTTAGCTCAGCGGCATGAGCTCCTGCCTTGCAAAAGGAGGCAGTCGTGAGTTCGATCCCTGGTACCGATAAAAAGGAAAGAGACAAAAAGAAAGAGCCCGCTGGGCGTGGTAGCTCACCTCTGTGAGCTCAACCCTTGTGAGGCTGAGGCAGGAAGGTCGCAGTGAGTTCCAGATCAACCTGGGCTCCAAAGTGAGCTCAAGCCAGCCTGAGCTGCACAGCGAGACCCTGTCTCAAAAAGCGACAAACAAGAAAAGAAACGAGGGCTGGGGATTTAGCTCAGCGGCGTAAGCGCCTGCCTTGCAAGCAGGCGGTCGTGAGTTCCATCCGGGACCGATTTAAAAAAAAAAAAAAAAAAATTAAAAAAAAAAAAAAAAAAAGGAAAAGAAACGAGCCCCAGAGCAGGAGGCACGGTCAGCCAGGCCCCGGGGGTGTCAGTGCCCAGGGCTGCACGCGGGCGGGCGAGGCGCTGGGAACGCGGCGGGGGACACGGCTCGCACCGGGGTGCGGACCGGGCGTGGGAAGCCTGGGCGCAGCTCCTTCCCGCGGCCGAGCTGCGTGCGCGCCCTCTGGCGGCGGCCGCGCCCCCCATCGCAGAGTTCGGGCCGCTCCGGCCTCGGGGCTGAGCGGCTCCACCTTGGGGGCACCCTGGGCCCCCGGCTGTCCCCGCCTCACCCCAGTCTGATTTTAGGGACCTGGGTCGTATCGAAATCCACCCAGAGCCGGTCGTGGTGGCCTACCTCTGCCCTACCGGCCCTTGGGAGGCTGAAGCAGGAGGGTCGCTGCGAGACTGGGCTCCACAATGAGACCCTGTCCGAAAAGCCGCCAACCCAAGAGTCCCCCCACTCCTCACGGCCGCCCGGAGCCTGCACCCGGCAGCCGCAGCACTCTGCTCCTCATGCCGCTGGCAGACCCCGTCCCTCCGGGCCCAGACCCCCGGCTCCCCCAGGCCTGCCGGACGTGCCTGTACCGCCAGCCCCGCCACCCCGCCTTTCCTCACTCACGCCACGCCCCGGACCCCCCAGGATTTCAAGGGCGCAGATTTCCGGGCTCAGTGGTACGCCCGGTAATCCCAGCTCTTCCCGGGACACAGGTGGGAGGGTCACCAGTTCAGGTCCCGCCTCAGCAAGAGAGGGAGACCCGGCTCCAAATTTTTAAAAATTGCTCGGCACGAAGGCCCTGGCCCAGCCCCCAGCCTCCCTGTTCTCCGTAACCCCGCGTCCCCTTAGCCTCTGCGCTCCTGGCGACAGGACGAGTGCATGTGGCTTAGGCCCCTGGAGACTTCACAGATGGACATAAAGGGGTAATTGCAGGGCGCTCGGAGCCCCTTTCCTCCCAGTTCCCCTCAACTCTCACTGACTGCCCCACCAGGCCCCTTACTGAAAATAAACCTCGCTGCCCTTACACTGTGGGTGCCTGGTATTGGGTCCCATCGAGGAGGAAAGAGACTGAGATGCACACACCAAAAAAGAAAAGAAAAGGAAAAAAAGGAAGGATGTGTGAGGGTTCCAGGTTCTATGAAAATACTATGCTCTGCACGCGCGTCTGCGTGTGGTATGAAGGATTAAACCCAGGCATACACTACCACTCAGCTACATTTCACCCCCCCCCCCTTTTAAATCGGTATCAGGAATTGAACTCACGACTGCGCACGTGCAAGGCAGGCGCTTATGCCGCTGAAGCCCCACTAAATCCCCAGCCCAGGCCCTTTTAATTTTAAGACAGAATCTCACTAAATTGCCCAGGCTGCACCCCAACCCATGGCTGGCTTTAAATTTGCAATCCTCCTGCCTCAGCCTCCCCAGTACCTGCAATTACAGGCCTTGCCAGCAAATCCAGCCATATTACACTTTCTTGGGGGGAAGTCTTTTTGGGACAGTCTCCCTATGCAGCTCAGGCTGGCCTTCAGCTCACTTTGTAGCCCAGGCTGGTCCTGAACTTACAACGATCCTCCTGCCTCAGCCTCCTGAGTGCTAGGATCGCAGGCTGTGTGCCACCACGCCGGGCTTAGAATAAATTACTCTTGGGCAAATCTTTGGTGAGTCACTTCACTCTGAACCCTAACCAATTCCCCACCTTCCCCCGTAAAACACCAACCATGATCACTTTCTTATAAATACAGGACTCCTGTTCATGAGGCTGATTTCAGTTACCCACAGTCAACTGCAGTCAGAAAACCCTGAACAGAAACGTCCAGATGTAAGTCATTCGTGACTTTTCCATTGCCTGCTAAAACCTGTCTTTGCCCAGGGTATTCACACCTTGTGTGCTCACTGCCCGCTAGCCACCTATTGGCCATTGCAGTTAGAGGATGCTAACATCACCCTTGGTAGTGGAGCCTGGCTGGATGGCGTGACCTGGAAGGTCTGTCTTCCCTCCCTGGCCTCTCCCCTCTCTCTGCTCTTGGCCACCCTGAGGTGAGGGCTCTCCTCCGGCAGCCTCTTCCCCACACCCAGCCTCATCTCCTGTTTTAAACCCACATGGAAACAGTCTGTGTAATCTCTCTGACTCTTGCATCTTTATGTGAATTATTTTAGATATTGAAATCACTATAGATTAAAAATATTAAAAAGCAGCTGGGTATGGTCTGCTCACCTGTAATCCCAGCACTTGGGAGGCTGTGGCAGCAGGACTGCTGTGAGTTTGAGACCAGCCTGGGGGCTGGGGATTTAGCTCAGCGGCATAACTGCCTGCTTTGCAAGCAGGCAGTTGTGAGTTGGATACCCGGAAAAAGGAAAAAGACAAAAAAGAAAAAGAAAATGAAAAAGACCAGCCTGGGCTGCATATTGAGTTCATGACTGGCCTGAACTACATGGCGAGACCCTGTCTCAAAAACAATAAATAATAACAACCAAAAAAAAAACACTTCCTTGCCTGTATTTATAGTTTTCCTATACATGTTTTACTGTCTTTGTCTCTGTCTTGAAGGGTTGGTTTAATCTGGCTTGGTGTTTTTACGTAGTGCAGACCTGGTCTCTCACTATGTATCCCAGGCTGGCCTCAGACTGCTGCAATCCTCCTGCTTCAGCCTCTCCATTGCTGGGATTTCAGATATGTGCCACCACACAGGGCAGCTTTCCTACAAATGTATTCATTCAGAAAAATAATTGCTAGATATTTTCCCTTTCCTTTTAGTTTTTCTTCTTCTTTGGAAGTGCGGAACTCAAAGCCTGTGTGGGTTAGGCAAGAATCTACCGATGAGCTGCACCCAGTTCTCTCTTTTGGATCTGTAATTGAGACGTAACCACACACACTTACAGGGCTAGTGTGACACCCAGTACCTGTACACACTGCACAAGGGTCAGCCCAGAGTCACCGGCCTGTCACCTGAAACATCTGTGCTGGCAACATTTAACATCTGCCCCACTCCGAGGAAGCACCACCAGCTGTACCACGGGCCAGTAGGAGTCACTTCCCCAGGCAGCTGCGCCCATCCTGACACATAAAAAATTACCCATGTCAGCTATATTCTTTAGTGGTGCTGGGGCTTGAACCCAGGGTAACCCCAACCCCTTTTTACTTCTGATTTTGAGACAGGTTCTCAGGCTGGGCTCAAATGTGCCATCTTCCTGCCTCGGCCTCCCAGAGCATTAGGATCCTAGGCTTGCACTAGATCATATAATTTTAAACATTTTAAATGTAAATTTAAATATTTTTTATTTAAAGAGAAAAAAAGGACATAAAAAAAACAGAGCAGTAAAAGGGTACAAATAATACAGTATTTCAAGAAAAAGAAATATACAGTAAGAAAAAAAAATATACAGTAAGAAATCACCAGAATAGGTTACATATTATCTTCCCAGGAACAGTTGTCCAAATTACAAAATTAAAGCATATAAAGTGGACATTCATACAGTGAAATTGGAGACAGTTCCGTTCAATGATCCAACAAAAGCTCAGTAATATAGTTTTCCATCCTACACACTCGAACACACCTGCAGTTATATCCCTTAGTCCACCTTTCTTTCCTTTTTTACAATAACAATTAGACTTTTTGGGCTTTATTACTTCCATGGTTCTTATTACTTTTTTTGAAGAGAATAAAACCAAATGTGACTAAGCAAAACAGAGTCAGAACAGAAGGGTGGGCATAGCACGATGCAAAAACAGAATACCAGGTGATCAAAAGTGGTTACCATTGTGCCTCTTGCTATTTTTAAATTGATTTGTCTATATCATCAGGTATCATCAGAATTGATCAAAACAATACAGAACAAGATCAATAAAACCTACACTGAAGACCTTGCAGGACTTCAAAAAAAGGATAATAGTCAAACCATAAATTTAAATATTTGAAATAAATGTTGGACTGAAGATTTAGCTCAGTGGCACAAGAGCCTGCCTGGCAAGCACGAGGCTGTGAGTTCCATCCCTGGTACCTAAATAAATAAATTAATTAAATAAAATAAATGTCTAGGTAAGATAGAAAAATACGGTTAAATATTTCACGTTAGGTGTGGTGGCCCAACCTTGTTAAAACGCATTTGGAAGTATGAGGAAGGAGAATCTTGAATTTGAGGCCAGCCTGGGTTACCCAGTAAGTTTAGAGCAGGCCTTGACTACAGAGCAAGATCCCGTCTCAAAAAAGCAAAATAACAAGAAGCATACTTGTAATCCCATCATTCAGAGCCTGAGGCAGGCAGGCGGATCGCTGTGAGTTCAATGCCAGCCTGAACGACTTCGTGAGACCGTATCTCAAAACAAAGAAACAAGAAAAGAAAAATATCAAAAAACTGACTATCCTTAGCCTGTCGGTGAGGTGAAGTAGGGGTACACATCTCTCCCTGAACACCCGTGTACATGTGGCCGTCCACAACACAGACCCACCAGGGCTCAGGGATGCAGCTCAGCGCGCCAGTCCTCAGTTCGATTCCCGGGGCCGAAAGCGAGCTTGTGAATATTTAAACACAACGCAGTACGATGGAAGTCAGGCTGAAGTTGAAATTGTGAAGTTTTCAGTAAGATTACTACAGTAAAGTACAGGGCTAGGACTCAGCTTACGTAAAAGGACTGCATATTTCCATTTTTTTATAATTTTTTTTTTATCGGTACCGGGGGTCGAACTCATGAAATGACCGCCTGCTTGCAAGGCAGGTGCTTATGCCATTGAGCTAAATCCCCAGCTCCTATTTGCATTTTTTAAGATGTAGTGTATTCAGAACACTGAAAGGCCGCACAGAGCCAGCGCGCCCCACAGCGGCCGAGCGCAGGACGCCCCGCCTCGCGCCTGCGCTCAGGCAGCGCCGCGGACGACCCGGCTGCCGAGAGGACCCTGGGGCAAGATGGCGGCGCCCATGCACCAGGTCCGCGGCCTGCTGAGGCTGGCGGCGACCCTACGCTCCGGCTCGCGCGGCTACCGAGCGCTGCCACCTCCACGCCGATCGCCGGAGCCCTATTGGCCGGACCCTGAGAACCCACTGACCCCACGCTGGCAGCTGGGTCCGCGCTACGCGGCCAAGCAGTTCGCACGGCATGGCGCCGCCTCCAACGTGGACCCCGGCTCGTTGTGGCCGACGTCCGAGCAGCTGCGCGAGCTGGAGGCGGAGGAGCGAGAGTGGTACCCGAGCCTGGCGACCATGCAGGAATCACTGCGGGTCAAACAGCAAGCGGAAGAACAAAGGCGGCGAGAGAGGTGTGTGTGTGTGTGTGTGTGTGTGTGTGTGTGTGTGTGTGTGTGTGTGTGTGTGTGTGTGTGTGTGTGTGTGTGTGTGTGTGTGTGTGTGTGTGTGTGTGTGTGTGTGTGTGTGTGTGTGTGTGTGTGTGTGTGTGTGTGTGTGTGTGTGTGCGCGCGCGCGCGCATGCTGTGTGTGTGTGTGTGTGTGTGTGTGTGTGTGTGTGTGTGTGCGCGCGCGCGCGCGCGCGCGCATGCTCAGTCGCTTGCGCACGCGCGAGGCGCGCACGGCCCCGGGGCCCTGGCGCCGGTGCATCGTGCGTCTGCGTATTGCCTGCTGTCTGAAAGCCCCGGCTCGGGTGTCCCCTGGCCCAGGCGCCGAGGACCCAGCACGGAGCAAAACTGGCAGGATAGGTTCAGATCACAACAGGATCGTTAAGAGCTGAAAACTGGGTAGCCGGGCGTGGTGGCGCGCGCCTGTCATCCCAGCACTCCCGGGTTCGAGCCCCGCCAGGGCATTGTAGCGAGAGGCTGCCCAGCCAGCCAGGCTGAAGGATGTTTTAGGGCTGTGAAAGGATGATCTTTACCCAGAGCTCGGCATGAGCTGACATCATGATGATAAAGACGTCTTGGGGCAGGGATGCCATACCCAGAGGAAGCAGCTGGCAGAGGTCCCGGAGCTTACAGTGGGCCAGGAGGCCGCTGGGGCTGGGAAGAGTGAAAGTGAGGGCAGTGACTAGGTATGGAGTCCAGGCAGAAACTGGCCTCGGAGGCAGAGTTGAGGGGTTAGCCCAGCTACTTTGGAGGCTGAGGCAGGATTGTAGGAATACAGCGTAGGTAGACACCTTAGCAAGACTGTGTCTAAAAAAAGACAACTGAAGGAAGAGTGGCAGCAGGAGCAGAGGCATCTGCATGACTGCTTCCTAGGGGCGCCTCAGCAGCCTTGAGCAGGGCAGGGACCACCCTCCATGATGCAGCTGGCTTGCACGCAGTAGGTGGTGCTGCACCAGTGCACTACTGAGCTCGTGCCTCAGTTTAGGGGTGGGAGATCCACTTAGTGTGCCCAGGTGTCCAGAGTGCCAGTGAGTGGTGGAGCTGGGTGACCCTGGCATGGGACCTTAACCATACGTTTCCCTTTTCTTAAACTGTGGCTGTGATTGGTACTACAAACAGGCTTGGAGGGAAGCTGCCAACCCGGCTTTGGTTTGTTTTTGAGATAAGGTCTCCCTGTGTACCCCAGGCAGGCTCCTGCCTCAGCTTTTAAGCACTGAGGTCATAGGTGTGTGCCACCATGTCTGCCTTCCAGTCTGTTTCAGGCCTTCATTCCTGTGCCCTGAACTGGCCAGGGACACAGCAGGTGATCTCTGTTGCCTGTGGAGCACACAGTAGGTGCTCTGTGAAGCCTGGGGTGAGAAATGAGGTGTCCCAGGGAACAGCCCCCCAATACATCAGACTGACCTGGCCCTGCACTGAGACCACAGCCTAGCCCTGATCTCTGCACCTTTACTGCCAAGCAGAGAACTCTTCCTGCCTGTCATCTGGGTGGAACCCTGGGGCAGGCTCTAGGCAGAGGGTGGCATCCCAGGGGACATCACTGCATATCTGCCATACTCCCCACACAGGGAGCAGCTCATCGCTGAGTGCATGGCCAAGATGCCACAGATGATTGAGAACTGGCGGCAGCAGCAGCGAGAGCGCTGGGAGAAGGTGCAGGCAGACAAGGAGCGCAGGGCACGCCTGCAGGCTGAGGCTCAGGAGCGCCTGGGCTACCATGTGGACCCGAGGAGCACGCGCTTCCAGGAGCTGCTGCAGGACCTGGAGAAGCAACAGCGCAAGCGCCTCAAGGAGGAGAAGCAGAGGCAGAAGAAGGAGGCCCGGGCCGCAGCCATGGCTGCCAGTGCTGCCCCGGACCCAGCAGCCTCTGGGGCAGCAGCCCCTGAGCTTGCCCTTCCCTAATAAAGCCTGCTGTCCAGCAGCCCCACTGGCTCTGTGTACTACCTGCAGGTCCTCCCCAGGACCCAGCTCAGGCCCCAGTCTCAGCCCACCCGGTCTGAATGGGTGAGGACTCTGGGCCATGCCAGAGGGCTTCGGGGGAAAATCGATGTGCTGGGTGGGTAACAGGAACAGATGGCAGTGGGGAGACACTTCTGTTTACCAACATACATCTCCAGTAATTAGCCAGTTACCAGGGGGAGGCGCAGCCCAGACAGACTGCAGTGATGGTGGTAGGGGCTGGGAGAGGGGGTCCTTCCGGTGCTGATGGAGTGGGCACCCCTGCCCAGTCCCAGGTGCCCCATCTCCAAGGCCCTGCTTCCCCCAGGTCCAGGCAAGCCAGCATGGCACGGACCATGAGGGCTCATTTTTAAAACTTTATTCACTTCAAAACCTTTATCAGAGACACGGTTCTGTTCAGGATGGGGAGGGCCTTGGCCTCCAGAGCGGATGTGGTGCCTGCCTGGCCCCGAGGCTGGAGGCAGAGGCCAGACTAGGGAGGGGCCTTTCGGACTGCCCCAGATGGAAGGAGACGGGCCACTCTGACAGGATCAAAGTTTTGGGCTCCAGTTTCCCCTCATCTTGGAGGACGGCACAGTGGGGAGCAAACAGCCGCCTCTCCATCTGGCTGAGGGAGCTGGGACAGAAGCCAAGAGGGGCCCATCTGTCGCCTCTTGGCCCTGCCAGCTACTCCGAGCAGGCTGGGCTGGGAGGATGGGGACAGCTGTCTGGTCTGGATCCTCGAAGACCGGGGATGGAGCGGGCTATTGAAGAGGGTAGGACGCTAGGCTGGCTTTTTTAAAAAGGCTTTTGACTTTCTTTTCACTTCTTAAATAAAGATGAATATATATATATTTTTTCTTTTATAAAACTTTTGTGGAGCAGGGCAGGGTGGGGCAGTGGGCCACCTGGCTCCCAGCCAGGGTCACTCGTCGTCAAAGTTCTGACTCAGGAGGAAGTTGGCTGCCAGGTTCTCGTTCTTCTCACACGCAAAGTAGGCCTGGATCACCAGGCTCTCGGGGAAGCCCAAGGCCTTCAACTGCGGGGAGATGCGCTGAGGTGAGCAGGGCGGCCCCAGCCCGGCCCTGACCCGGGTCGGTCCTCGCTTACCCTCTCGATGGCCTCCTTCTCCTGCGGCGTCACCTGGATGTAGTTCATCTGTGGAGCATCCTCGCCCATGGCGCCCACCTCCCCCTCCACGTCGGAGACGTCTGCCAGCTCCCCAGGGGGTTCGTTCAACATCTGGATGAACTGCTCCTGGTGCCGGCTAATTTGCTGCGGGAGAGGGAGCGTTGGGGAGGCCAGGCCTGGTGCCTCCAGGCCCCGCCACGTCCTGCCCTTTCAGTCAGTTGACACGGAAAGCAGCACAGGTGGGGTGTGGCCCTGCCTGAGAGGCCACCAGCCACGAACACAGGGAGCAGACGACAGCAAGGCCAAGGCCAAGAAGTCACTGACACCCAGGGCGTGGGGAAGGCAGGAGCAGGCACCAAGGCAGGCAGGGTGGGAGGGGCAGGTGACCAGAGAGGAAAGCAGCGGGCAGCACTGTCCAGGGCAAGGGAAGCCACAGTGCTGCGGGTCAGCAGAGAAGACGAGATCTGAGAACTCGGGAATAACTTTTTAGCAGTGGCAAAGTTTATTTGAAAAAGTAAAAGAGAGACAAGACAGACAGACAGACAAACATGCAGACAGACAGAAACTGACAGCCAAGTGAGCCTGGGCTGAGTAAAGAGGAAAGCACACCCCAGAGGGAGCAGGGTGGGCTGTCCTGAGAGAAGCACACCACCCAGGACCCAGCAACTCCAAACTTTTAACTTTTTTGCAGGCTCTCACTACAGAGTTCAAGGGCAGGTGAAACACCACAGCCCCAGCTGGCCTCAAGCGCAGGGGCAATACTCCTGCCTCAGCTTCCTCGGGGCCAGGTCTGCAGGCATGCATGCGCCATCACAACCTGCCTGGGAATGTGCTAGTGCTGGGCTGGGGACAGAGGCAGGGCCCCTGGCGAGCTTGGCTGCACTGGCCATCGCTCAGCACCTGCGTTCCTTCCGTGCTCCCTTCTCTAGAGCCTGCGCACTCCATACATCTGATGATTTTTGCATTAGACAGAAGGGCTCCTTCAGTATCCAATGTCCAGTGGACAAAGGACCAGGGTGGCAGTGGGATTAAAGGCCTGCAAGGGGCCATCAAAGTGCAATGGAAGAGCAAGTAGGCAGCCTTGGGGGCAGAAGTCAGCAGGGTGGGGGCTGCGCTATCTTGGAAATCTAGAAAGCACCACAAAGACGTCGTCAGCCATGGGAAAGTGCAGGCAGAAGTCCAGGCTGGCCACCTAGGCTCCAGTCATCACAGACTGAAAGCCCCAGGACAGCAGTGAAAGGACCAAATCCAGGTGAAAAACAGTGGCGACCTGGTCAATGGCACCTAAATCCCAGTACTTAGGAGGCTTAGGCAGAAGATCTGAAGTTTAATACCCAGCATGAGTTACACTGAGAATTCAGGGCCAGCCTAGACTACCAAGGGAGACCCTGTCCAAAAACACCCCAAAACCAGAGACATGGAAGGAAGCCTCTCCAGGGACTGAGATCGGAGGAGCAGAAACTGGCAGGTAGAGGCCCAGGGGAGCCTGCTGGGCTGCCCAGTCCACATACATATTCTACCAGCATAGCCTGGGATGCTGGCCAGTGGGGTAGGACCTTCCTCAGCCCTGCCATCTGGACAAGGCAACCCCTCAATCTCTCACTGTCACACTCGCCCACGCCCCTGCCTGGGCCGCACCTGCAACAGCTGAGGGTTCTCCTGGCCCAGCTGCTGGAGCAGGGCCGGCAGCAGTGCAGGGTTCTGTTGGATCACCTGCCTCATGCTCTGGAACTGTGGCTGGTCCCGTAGGAACTCCAGGGGGTTCTCTCCTGTTGGCAGCAGGAAGGGGTGCAGTCAGAATCCACATGAGGACCCAGTGCTGGGCCCCAGGAGATGCCCTGTGAGCATGACACCTGGCCCACGCACCTGCCTCTGTGGCTGGCTGCTCAGATGCCTGGCTCTCCTGGATGGAACCGTGTTCAGGCTCAGGACTGCCCGGAATTCCCTGCAGGAAATCTCCCTTCAGTTCTCCTACGTGGCCACCTCCGCACCTGCCCCGCCTCCCGAGGGAAGCCTGTGGCAGCCTCACCACACCACCCCACCTCACCGTGAGCAGGTACTCCACGGCCCTGTGCGGGTTGTTGTAGCTGGCTCTCAGGGCGGCCACCACACGCTCCCGGTCATAGCCCATGGACATGATCTCCGTCAGCATCGTCTCGTACTCAGAGCCCGTCACTATGAAAGGAGTATCAGACTGCGTCGCCGTGGACAGGGCGAGGTGGCAACCACACCCTCCCACAGCCAGAGGAGGCCCAGCCACCTCTCCGCAGGGACCACCCGCCCACCTAGCGTGGAGGCTGCGTCTTCCTCTCGCCCGCTGCTACCTGAAGAGGGAACAGAGCTGCAAATTCAAGAGAGAGAAATCGAACCTTGGCTTCTGGTGGCCTGCCCTCCCCCCAGGGTGTGGGACCACAAGGGTGGCACTAACAGTACAGGGAGCACAGGGCCCCAGGAGAACTGCGCCCTTTCCTTACCCTGACACTGACTCTGGTGACGCTGTGGGAGCTGACTCCTCTGATGGGCTCTTGTCATCTCTGGTGGCAGGTGATGGGTGAGACATGCCTGGGGCAGAGGTCAGCTGGAAGGGGGCAGAGGGCTCTGGGGCAGCAGTGGGGGAGATCTCTGGGGGTGCCAGGGTACCCTGGCCAGCTTTGCCCTGTGACAGCAAGTAAAAGGGGGGCGGCATCAGCACCCTTATCAAGCCCCAACATCCTGCCTGGACACAACCCAGCCCTGTGCTCAGCTAATCTCTCCTGGGCACACAGGCTCCCTGCCAGCTCCCCCACGAGTCACCCACCTTGGTCACCATGACAACCACGAAGTTCTTCTCATCAATACGATAGTCCCTGATGGGGACGTCATCGCTCAGGATCTTGCCAGCATAGATGAGTTTCTGTCCAGACACTGGGAAAGCATCACGGCCCTTCTCTGCTTCTATCTTCTCCTTCAACACCTTCACCTGAAGGAGTTCAGACAGCCTGTGTGAACCCCACGACTCTCTCTTCCCTACTGGTTTAGGGAGGAGTTTGTCAGTGATGACAGAGGCTCAGCTTCATAGGCAAACACACTGCTGGTGAATGCATTCAACAACTGGCCAATCAATGTTTTTACTGAGAACCTATTATGTCCAAGGTGCTAGATTAGGCACTAAGGCCATTTTATAGAGGCCCCACCATGGAACAAAACAAGTTCCTGTGCACATGGAGAGAGTGCTTATTTGAAAAGACTAAAACATGTTTCTAAATGGTGGAAACTATATTAAAATAAAATAAAAAATAAAAACAAAAAAGAGAATAAGCCAGGCATGGTGGCGCACACCTGTAATCCCAGCACTGGGGAGGCTGAGGCAGGAGATCACCGGAGTTCAAGGCCAGCCTGGATTACATAGGGAGACCCTGTCTCAAAAAACAAACAAACAAAAAGATTAAAGGGATAGATAGGAGTGTCTCCCGTTTATGACGCTGACCTGGGACAATAAGAGGGACATCATGGATACTTACTAAGGGTGATGAACACATTCTGTTAATACTATTTATTACAAACATGATTATACTTATTAATCGAGAAACTGGGGCTCGAACCCAAAGTCATTTCACCAGAGTTACACTGCCAACCCTTTTTATTTTGAGACAAGATCTTGGTAAATTATCCAGGCTGGCCTTGAACTTGTGAGCTTCGGCCTTAGCCTCCCGAGGAGCTGGGATAAAGGTGTGCACCACTGCCCTCAGCTGGATTTAAGCCTCATAACATCTGCATGATATCCTTAACACTGGACTTGCTTTACATTTGAGAAAAGGAGGCACAGTGATGAAGTAACTTGCCCAAAATCAAACAAACTGGTCCAAAAAAAAAAATCTGAATTTGTTTCCTTTTCTCCAAAAGCAGGCGCGGGGTGGGAGCGTGGTCAGGGTGCAGCGCTGGCTCGTCCAGGAGCGTGGAAGTCAGTATCCCTTGGGGCAGTGGCACCGAAAGCACCGGTGCATGGACAAAAATAAACGGCCGACAGACATAAGCCACCGAAACTACGATCACAGTGACCATTTATTATCAGGACAGTTGTCACAGATCGGGATCCTGGGTCATCATTACCAGCCCAGCCGCCGCCGGCCTCCGGGAGCGTCCACACAGTGCAGCGGGCGCGCGCACCGCGGGACCGCGCCCCGGGAAGTGCTGACACTCAAGTCGCCGGCCGGCGCCCGGGGTGGGGCTCGCCCAAGACGGCCAGGCAGCGCGTCCGAGCTTCCGGGGGCCGGGCCGGGCCGGGTCCCACGGGTGGGGGTCCGAGAGCCAGGAAGGTGGGGGAGTGGGCCGGGCCCAACCGCGCCGTCCTCCGCGTCCCTCCCGCGGGATTCCTGCCTCCCCACCCCCACCCCGCCCCGGTACCCGTCACCCCCGCCCCTCGGCTCGGGCCCGGCCCGCACCGTCTCATCAGGCTCCATGCGGATCTTGAAGGTCTGCTGCTGCAGCGTTTTGAGCGTGATGGTGACAGCCATGGCGGGGCCCGAGCAACGCGGCGGCCCCTTGATCTTCCGACAACATGCAACTCACGCCGCCGCCATCTTAGCGCCCAGCCGTGCCGCGCGCCAAGCGCTTCCGGGTCGAGCGGCGCGCGCGCGCCGTCCCCCCCCCCCGCCAGCCCACGTGACCTGCGCATGACCCGCCCGCTCTCCGGGCATGCGCTTGAGCGCTCACCTGGCCAGGCATGCGCAGATTGACCTCTGCGCTGCGGGCGAGGCGGCTCATCCTCTGCACTCTTCACTTAGCTTCCAGAATGACGTCATGATCGTTAACGGTGACGTCATATGGCTGCAAAATGGATCTGGTGTCCCCACCGTTGCTCTCAAATGTTTGACTGTTTAAGTTTTTCATGAGCTTGCTGTAGATATTTGCACCTCTTGAAGTCTCCTCGTGCTTTTTGTTCCAAGTTGGTTTGATTTTGAGTTAATCATCTTACCTGAAACCCTGAAAATTACTAAAAGCTGGGCATGATGGGGCACACCTATAATACCAACATTCAAAAGGCTGAGGCAGGAGGATCACCTACTATGAGGCCAGCCTGAGCTGCACGGGAAGACCTAACAACAGAAACACTTTTTGTGAGCCAAGCCACAGGTCACATGATAGCTTGATGTATTCCATGTAGAGAACTATCTGGCACCTGCAGTTTCCATTCGTGACTTGCTACTTGTGCTGCTCCTCCTACCAGCTTATTCCACTGTCTGACCCCAGTGGTACAGAAGTAAAAGACATGACTCAAATCCAACATGTGTTGCACACAGAATTCTTCACGTAAGCCTTCCCTGAATCCACTACACCAGGCTTCTGAGAGACCAGGACAGAAACAGGAGCCTGGAGTGTGTGTGAGTCCAGCCCATGGACACGTAGGAAGAGGGGGGCCCACACAGGCTGAGTGGGCAGCTGCAGAGTGCTTCAGGCAGCAGGATGGAGGCAAAGCTGGGCTCCCACTTGATACAGCACTATGGGAGGCAGGATGGCTTGAGAATGGTGCCATCCTCAACTCCTAAACTGACCACTTGCTACCTCCAGCCCTGCTGCTCCCTCTGCATCCTCCCCAGGTGCTGATCTAAGCCACTCTTCAGTCCTCACCCAGTGGACTCTGACTTTTCTATGCAAAGGGCCTAGGAATCTGCAGAGTGGGGCAGGCTCCTTCTCACCCTGCAGTCCACTGCACCCTAGTCCCCCACTTCTCCCTTGCAGAGCTAGGGATGGAACCAGGGACCTTGCACACCCCAGCCTTTGTCTTCCCAGCTGCAACTTAACCTAAAGACCATGGCTCCTGGGATGAGGAACACACCATTCCAACCTGGCTCCTTATCAGATGAACTGGGCAGCGTGGCCATCGATAGCTGGTACGTGGGCTAGGCCTCTCACTCCTAACCACGCCACATAGACTTGGTCTGTTTTTTGCTCCTCACTAGACCAGGACTCACGGCTGTGGAGAATGCAGTATGGAATCATTAGGTGTCAGCAGGTTCATGCCTGGTCGGTGAGCAAGGGTCACTTAGAGGTCAATTCCAGTGATTTGGAGGCCTCACAGTACATAGCATTCCTGCCTTGAAGGAGTACCTGGTCTTTCTTGCAGCACCTGTGAAGGACTTCCTGCAGGTCAGCTTCACCCCCAGGTATCTTTAGCTCCCTGATGGCTGCCCCCCCAAGAAGGAGACAAAGCAGGGAGACACAAAACTTAATTTAATAGAAATTTTGTTTGTAGTTCTTACATTCTCACTGTGAGCCAAGCTGGAATCCACTACCCCACCCAGAAATGGCCCAGTCAAGAAGCAGGGGAGAAAAAGGGATGGATGGGGAATACCCCATTCTTCCTCAGTGCTGGGGGGCTGGAGAAGCCCCCCCTTTCTGCTGCCCCTGTCTGGGCTCCACGAAGGGAAGCAGATGGAATCTCAAGCCAAGGGCGTCTCCTCCACACCCTTGCCCTCAGAGTAGCTAAGGGATCCCGGAAAGAAGGGGAAGGGAAAGAGGCTGGTCAAAAAGAGGAAGGGCAAGAGGGGACTGAGGGCTGAAGGAGAATCCGAGACAGAACACCTGTTTAAAAAAAAAAGAAAGGCGGGGGACACAAATCAAAATCCACCCCAAATCTGAACCCGCCTGGAAAAATGAAAGTTCTTGGGTCTCATAGAGACATTATTTGGCGCGGCCGGCTCTGCAGCAGGGGCGCACAGGCCTCAGTCCAGCCCTGGAGGGGGTGGCGTGGCCTCTCTACAGCTCGTCCTTGGCCTGGCCAGTGGCTTCTTCCTCTTCCTCCTCTTCCTTGTCCTCCTCATCCTCTTCGTCCTCATCTTTGTCATCCTCGTCATCTTTGTCTTCTGCTTCCTCCTCCTCCTTGCGCTTCTTGTCCTCTTCTTCCTCCTTAAGTCTCTGCTCCTCGTCCTGTTTGTCCTTCATCTTCTTCTCTGCAGCCTACAAGTAGAGTGCTCCCCGGATCAGACCCTGGCTAGAGGCTGCAACCCTGCCCACCCCCAGGTTAGAACTGGGCCCTGCCTCACCTTTGTGATGCCCCAGGTTTCGTTTCCAAACTCTTCTGCATACGCCTCATCATTGGTGATGAGAAAGTTGTCAAAGATGGTGCCAGATTTGACCTGCGGGTGATGGGAGGGGAGGGGTGGTCAGAGGCAAGAGCCCATGGCTCTGGCTTTGGACAACATGTCACCTGTGTTCTTTTTTTTTTTTTTTGTCTTTTTGCTTTTTATCGGTACCAGGGATCGAACTCACTACTGCCTACTTGCAAGACAGGCGCTTATGCCACTGAGCTAAATCCCTAGCCCTCACCTGTGTTCTTCTAACCGCCACGCCCTGGTCTCTGGGGACAGTGGAGACTGCTGTTACAGCTCAAGGCTGCAGCTACCTCCTGTCAGGTGACTCTGGGCAACTACCTTTTACTTCTCTGCACCTCTGTCTGTTCACCTGAGAAGTGAGGGCTCACACCCTCATGCAGGTACAAAGATGAGGCCTTGAATCTGTCCTTGCTTAAAAAGTGCTCCATGGGGCTGGGGATTTAGCTCAGTGGCATAAGCGCCTGCCTTGCAAGCAGGCAGTCGTGAGTTCAATCCCACGTACAGATAAAAGGAAAAAGACCAAAAAAAAAAGTGTTTCATGACAGAAATTCAGTCCAGTATAATTTCTCTTGCTGTGCTGGGTATCAAACCCAGGACCTCACAAGGAACAAACATCTATCACTGACCTACACCCCAACCCCCCACCAGGTTCCTAGCAAAGCCAGCTGTAGTCAAATGAGCTGACTTGCATAAGCACTTGAAGTACCCACAAACTATGGTGGGGCAAATGCCCATCATCATGGGGGAGGCTGAAGCAGAAGGATCATGTTGAGTTCAAGTCCAACCCCAACTTGCTTCAAAATACAAAGAAGAATCCAACACTTAATAAGTAGCCCCTCAAAGAGGATGTATGCTGTGGGGAGCCCGAGGACAGACCAGTCTACCTTCACAAAATGTACCAATGTGGGGGTCAGACCTGCATGGTGGTGAGTCTTTCACTTGACCTCCTCCCTTGGAGGCCTGATCACCTGACAATTCCACCTCCACTTCTCACCTGCCACAGATCCAGGCCCAACACGGCAAAGCTGTCATAGGCATAGATGTGGGCATCTGGGGAGTACTCAGGGTTGTCAACTTCTGGGTGGATCCAAGTGCCCTTGTAATTTGGATTATCGATCTGCCGTGGCTTCCACTCACCCTGCAGAAAGCAGTCCAATAGCTCAGTAAAAAAGGGTACAATCTTCACTGTGAGCCCCAGCCCCGCTCAGACATAGTTTTTGTTCTGGGGGTCCTAGGGGAGCCACTCCAGGGCAAGTTCCCTACCCCGAGCTACTGAGCTACACCACAGCTCTTAGGCTCACCTTGTACTCGGGGTTCTGAATCACTGGTGGTTCCCACTCCCCATCCATCTCTTCATCCCAGTCCTCAGGCTTCTTGGCATCAGGGTCTGGGATGTGCTCGGGTTTATCCCAGTCCTAGGGGACGGAGGAGATTAATGGGGACCAGCAGTTCTCCAAGCTCTCCAGCCAGGTGGGGAGAGCCCCTGCCCACATACCAACCTCAGGCTTGGAGTCTGTGGGGTCATCAATCTTGGCGCGTTCGTCCCAGTCTTCAGGCTTGGAAGCATCAGGGTCCTTAATCTTCTTTGGTGGCAGGAAGTCCCAGTCGTCCTCCAAGGAGCCTGACTCCACTTGACTGTTGTCAATCTTCACTTCATAGGTGTTATCAGGTCGCACAATCAGGGTGTACAGGTGTGTAAATTCATCATCCTGAACAGGGTGGGAAGTGAGCGGCCCCGCCCACCCGGCTACCCCTGGGGCCTCCACTGAGAGCCACCCAAAGGTGCCCTCCCAGGCACACCTTGCAACGGATGTCCTTGTTGATCAGCACATTCTTGCCTTTGTAGTTGAAGATGACATGAACTTTCTTGGTGCCAGGACCACAAATGTCTGGGCCTAGGTGGAAAGCAGGCCGTAAGGAGTCTGACCGCCCACGATGGGAGTCCCACCCCTATTTAAGAACCTAGAACTTGGACTCAGGTCTTTCAGGCTAAAGATGAGCCTCAGATTCTGATCCTGTCTTTAGAAGTGGAGTTTCAATTCAATTCAATCAATAAGCCTGCCTGCCAAAATTCACCTATCCACCTTTGTAAAATCTGGAAACATCTAAGTATATTCACAAAGTTTACATCTTCAACCATAATACAATCCCCTTCAGTTATCTGTTCTCCACAGGCCCTTATAACTAGCTATACCACCAAAGAAGCCTCAGTTATTTTGGTGCTTTCTATGGTCTCAAGACCATCCCAGATTATGAAGACCCCTGGGGCCTGCAATGAGGCAGGAGGATTGCTGGAAGTTCAAGCAGCCTTAACTATAAGGTGAGACCCAGTCTCAAAACACAAAACTAAATCAAGTCTACAGGAGTGCCTCCCCCTCCCACTATTGGGAGGCCTGGCTCAGTGCACACCCCCTCACCGAACATGATGTTGTACTCCGAGTCTCCGTGCATGTCCTTCTGGTCCAAGTTTTGGGGAAATAGTTTCACGTAGCCACCCCCACAGTCAATGTTCTGCTCATGCTT